GGTTTTAGAACAATTTTGTATTAATTACTATTTAACTGGGAATAAGCCACAATTAAAGGTAGAAATACGTTTATTGACGTTTCAATTTCCACTTCGGAAATCGTTCTCAAAATACAAACAGTAAATTAAACAAATTTTGTTTTTTTTTTTTTTGTTACTTAGTGAAAAATTCTTCTAATAATTTAATTTTATCTGACTCATTTATATTGATAATTCAGACATACATTATGCATTTTAAAGTAGACGACTTTAAAATGATATTGCCAATATTGTGGAGTTGCGCTCCTGGGACGACTTTACTTATAAGATAGTTCATTCGATTACATGAAATCAATTTTAACTTGAGAATATCCGTCAGAAAAAAATCATAGCATGTAATTCGTCTTTAAAAAGACAAACACATGGCATGATGACAGTAAAATACAATTCAACATTCAAAACAACAAACACGTTGAGATCTATTTTGTCCAAAACCAAACCTAACAATGAACAAGAAAGGACAAAGAATTGCATTTATAAAATACCTTGTGAATGCGATCAGTTTTATTTAGGCGAAACATCAAATCCATTAAATGTTAGAATAAGTGAACATCAATCTTATATTAAAAATAGAGAATTTGATAGATCTTAAATATGTAAACACGCATGGGATAATGAACATAGGGTTCAATTGAATAATTCAAATGTAGTCCTAAAAGAAACGGATGGTAAAAAAAAGAAAAATCAAAGAATTCCTCGGCAGAATGTAGTAGGATCTGGTTACCAATATTGAAAGAGGAAGTTATTAATAAGAAAATACCAGTATTAGTAAGTCAGTAACATATAGAGGATACATCATTTATGTTTTTTAAACAACGAAACATATAAAATCAGAATTTGGTGTTTATTGAAGGTAAACTAAATGCACGACCAAATACTTACCATGTCGGGATAGTATTATGAGGTTTTTTTTCCTGGTTTTTCCCTCATAATTTACTATGGAATCACTAACAGGAGAATTTTACTGTCATCAGTCATGTGTTTGTCTTTTTAAAGACGAATTATACGCTATGATTTTTTTCTGACGGATATTCTCAAGTTAAAATTTCAATTTCAATATAATTTTAAAGTCGTCTACTTTAAAATACATAATGTATGTCTGAATTGTCAATGTAAATGAGTCTGATAAAATTAAATTATTAGAAGAATTTTTCACTATGTAACAAAAAAACAATATTTGTTTTTACTGTTTGTATTTTGAGAACGATTTCCGAAGTGGAAATTGAAACGTCAATAAACGTATTTTTACCTTTAATTGTGGCTTATTTTCAGTTAAATAGTAATTAATATTAAATGCCACAAGAAAATAGCTTCAGAATAATTTTGTATTAGTCACAAAAGTTTTGTAATTGAATTTAACATTCAAGTTTCAACATATTAGTTTCAAACCTTTAAAATTATTATTAATATTTAAAAAATACTAAAAAAAACAGTTATAAAAAAGTTTCTTTGGGCGAAATTTATTTTCCACACTAAAATCAAACTTACGATCTTCATATTTCAAGAAAGGAAACTTTTTAATATGTTTAATCATCGCCAAAACTTTCATTAAAATCGATAGTTCAAAACCCCTTTGTATATAAATTTAGAATAGAATAGAAATATGCTTTATTGTCACTGAAAATTGTACAATTTTATGGACAAAGCTTACAAAGAGTCAGAAAAATAACAATTAAAATTTACTGAAATTACATAAATCACAAAATAAAAGGTAATAAAATACACAGTCTATTGCAAAATTTAAATAAATTGCATAACAAAAACCTAACGAATTATTAAGTTTAAGTTACTGCATGTGTTACCCAAATATATATTTATAAAAATAATTTAGTTACTTGTACATGAAGCTATTCGTTATGAAACTCTTCTACTGAATAATATGGTGTTTCATATAGATAGGCTTACCCATAAAGAAACTAAATTCCTGTTTAGTGAAGAATATAGGCTTTTGTCATTTTACGGGACTTAAGGAAAGAAGTTGCAAAGGGAGATGGTTGTATAATTTTTTGCAGAATATAATATAGATTTATTTACAATCAGTAGACGGGATCAGTAAATACACATCAAAGGTTGAATTTCTGGTAGAGTAGTCAATCAATCAATCAATCAATAATGCCTTTTATTTCTCAATATAAAAAAATACAATACAATACTTTTAGTGACATTTGTTCTCCTTGGCACATGCCATCGGAGGGTTGGCAAACAAATATTCCTAATTAATATACCAAAAAATTATACAAAGGCTTATTCTATCTAACAAGGCCATTAAAATAAATAAAAAATAAATTATGTAAATATTCATATAAATGTTAGTAATAAACTAAATGTATATATCCTACTAAGTAACACTTCGCACTAAACTTAACAATAATAGCAATGTATAACAGTGAGGTATAGATTACAATTGAAAAGATTGAATATCCCTTTAAGGAAATGAAAGCTGCAGATACAATAATAACAGTAACAATAATAATAACAATATTAGTCAAGATAGACCAGATAGATAAAAAGACAATATATATATATATAAGCAAACAAATTATTAATCCTAATTTAATATAACACCACGCTAATAGATTTAGTAGTTAAATAGGCTCACTAACTCATACCTATACACCCATGCCTCCCTACAATAACCTGCTAACTCAGCCTTGCCCTGTCTCATCATAGTAACTACTTCCACTCTACTAAGTTCATGTCTACCTCTGGTAGAATAGTCATGATTAGGTCTTACTGGAAATCATGTAGGTGTTTACGAATTAAGCAAACAGTTTCTAAAATATATAAAGAAACAAGAGTTAAAATCCCGTGATTTTTGAAGTAGCTTCTGCAATGTGTTATTCTACTGAGACCAAAAGGATACAGTATTGCTCTTTTTGTAATTTAAAAATAACATCAGATCGAACAGCTCTACTAGAACCCCAAAAAGGAAGACCATATTGAAGATGAGACTCGAACCAAGAACCTTATTTTGAAAGATGCTAAATTTATTTCATTCGAAAAAGATTTTATTGCATAGCAGGCTGAGACTAGTTTCTTACTTCTTAATTCGATATGAAGGGACCATTTAAGGTTCCTGTCTATAAAAATACCAAGAAATTTTACAGTCTACGATACTGATCTGGCTGTTATTAAGAAGCAAGGGTTGAAGAGCTCCTTTGTAGATAATGCTACTGTCCTGTCCACGTTAAAAAGAGAGTAAATTTAAGTCGGGCCAGGTTTTTATTTTAGTAGATCAGAAATTGATAATTGCATGAAGAGTTGCAATATTAGAGTTTCTCCAGGTCATACTGATATCATCAGCAAAAAGAAAAATGTTTTCATCGATTTTTAAGCTAGTGAAATCGCTTCCACTTAAACAGAACGTCCATATAACTGAAGGTTATGAAGCAGCAGACCATGATTCACCCTGTCGAATCCATGTTGGTGGCTGATCAATAGAGCATTACATCACTAAAATCAAAGGTGTGCAGAGAAGCCACTGAAATAGCTTAAAGATTGAAGACAGCATAACCGCATCATCCTTTTTTTAAAATAGTAGTAATAACTATTATTCCAAGCTGAAGGATATAAGTATGTGCAATTTTAATGATAAGTTAAATAAATAACCTAAAAGTAGGTAGGTACACAGATAGCGTAAATTATCTTTTTAGAAAATAACTGCGAAAACCTATTGAAGGCTATATCCACATTATTAACTAATTTAAATTCATATAATTATAATATAAGTTCAGGATTTTTAATATATTTTCTTTTTACTCTACCTGCATACATCTTATTTGCCATGATTTTTGTTTTATTCGTTCCAGAGATTTTTGTTTTATTTTTTCCACAGGTATGCGTGGTTTTACAAAAGAATATAATATGCGTCTATATTCTTTGCTTTTACCTTTCAGAATCCGGTTCTACAGCTTTACACCAGTTATGCAGTATGGTTTTAATTGTAAATTTTAATACTAATTTAATTAAATTGATTTTATGGGACTTGCAAGTTATAAATTCAAAACTTGCCTTATTGAGTACAATGGATTCTATTGGAATTATTAAAAACCTTGAATGTGGTTGTTCATTTAAACAAAAGTGAATAATTGTTACAATAATATAAAATGTTTTAACAAAACAAGAAATCGGATAACATAATCTTCGAATGCCACTGATATATTCCCTTAAATCCAGGAACATTTATTTTTCAGATGTATAATTGGCAGAAAAGAGTGTTTTTCTACAATCTGAACAATGAATGAGTTTTTTTAATTTTCTTTAAAATAAAACTTGCAACATAACTGGTGGAAAGTTCCTGAATTCTATTTACAATTGGAATGTTTGACATTGTTATTGGATCAGAATAAGATATTTTATAATTATCACAATCTGAAGATTGTAATCAATTTGAATTAAAAAGTTTTGCCATTGGCACAAGAACATTAAAGAATCATCCTCTTCACAGTTTAATGTTTTTTTTATAATGGCATTCACCAACAAGGTTTTATAAACCCCTTTAAAAAAGTACTATCTGCATCTATACTAAAATCATAATCAAGATGCACTAGAAATAAACAAACCAAGACACTTAAATGTTACGAGGAACACTCCCGAATCATGATTTACAATGTATAACCTTTGTAAATCATGATTTGGGAAATATACAATGTATATACATTGCAAATAGTTATTTCAGAGTGCTCCTTGTAACATTTAACGTGTCTTAGTTTGTTTATTTCTACTGCATCTTGATTGTGAATTTAGTATAAGTCTAGATTCTAGAGTAATGTAGATAGTCTACCTTTCAGTTGGAAACAATTTTTAAATTAAAAAATAGATACATAATAAAATAAAAAATAATACTTAAATAAGAGTATTAAATCTATTGTATTTTAAACTTTCTTCCCATTGAACTCTCTTAAAAACGTTTAAATAAGTTGATTTTTTGTTTTTATCGATTTTTAAACATAACATAACCTAACAATTCGAGCAGTAGTCAAGATATAACCAAATTAACCACTCACTTAATACTATTTTTCTCTTTAATATAAAGTAATTAAAGCAACTACTAAAGAAGGGAACTGGAAAATGAATCATGAAAATACAGAACCTCAAAAGTGCTGTCCCAATAATAACATGAAGCTAAAAATCCTAGCGATTCATGGTTACAGACAAAACGCGGAAACTTTCAGATCAAAAACTGGGTCTTTTCGAAAAATGATTCACAAATGGGCAGAGTTCACGTACATTACAGCTCCCCATAAGGTTATTCTAGTAGATGATCCTAATGATTTAGAAAAAAATGGACCTGATATAGGACAAAGTAAAGATGAAGGTAGGTAATGTTCTTTATATATTTTTAAAGTTAACATAGATTACACTGATTTGTTCTGTTATATAGCTCTTGACATGTTTTGTGGTTACATGATAAGTATTGTCTGAATATTAATTGCACAACAGAACAATTAACAAGGAATCACTTAATATACTTATACACTTAATTCAGTTTCTCCTTCTTCAGTATTTTTTGTGTCACTATCATCATTCATATTTTGGTTTTCAATAGTGTTATAAGTGAATTAATATTAGTAAGTAATGTGTAATAATAAATTATGTTGGTGCTATGCTGGTGTGCCTTTGGCTGTAGTTCATCAATAAATACATTTTACTTTACCATATTAGTGTATTGACTATTTATCAACTGAACACAAAATAAATGTAAACAATAACAAAGCTATTGACTAGCATGAATCTCAAATATAAAATGATCATCATATCTAGGTACATTCTTATTTATATTATGTAGATATACAAAATAATCTGCATCAACAATGTCAGTATTTCGGTTCAAGTTCAGGATGTTGTTCACCTATCTATGCTTATTAGTATATTTACAATTTAGAAATTAACATTCTTGCAAATTATTTATATTTTTTGTAGGATTTTTCTTTTTAATGATTAAGGGTAAAGTACTTTACTATATCATCTATAGGTTTTCAAAAGTCTTACAATCATTGTTTTTTTAGAGCAATATGGTTGGTTTTTTAATCGAGATGATAAAACATTTAGAGGTATTAGAAAAGGAGGGCCAGCCATTGGTTTTGAAGATAGTTTAAAATATATAGAAGACATTTGTGAAAAGGAAGGTCCATTTGATGGTCTTTTAGGATTCTCACAAGGAGCTTGCTTTGCAGGATTACTTTGTGATTTACAACAAAGAGGATGTAAGTGAGTGTTGTCAATGATTAAGTGTAATTTAAAATAATTTAAAACTTGCACCAGGAAATATGTCCTAGTTGTGAGTGACTGTTCGGTTTCCATTAAGTTTCCTTTAAAAGGATCTATTAAAACCCTATTGATCTAGGTTTTCAAAAGGACTAGAGTTTGCAATGATTAGCTTTAACTTATATACTGCCCTCCTAAGGAAAAACACAGCATCTGCATTACTTATAATAATGAGTAAATGGACTTCAAGAATCTGCAACTTTTAAAACGGTCTAAAATTATTACAACAATGAGGTTACAAATAAGTTTACTTTATATTAATAAATTTGTAAATAAACTATGTCTTAAAAAAAAGGAATAGTAGTTTATCCTAATTTTATGGTTACTATGGCAGATACTGGGAAAAAATTATAAGTAATATTAGGAATTGCTAAGTAAAACTACAGCATCTACAGATGTTATGTTTATGGGGTGTTTTTTCTTAGCATAATGTTAAAGAAAATATAATTAAACAACAAATATGTTTTTTATTAATTTATTAAAACTACATAATATATTTAATAAAAAATCACATTTATTAAACCAGATAAACAATAACAAACAAAATTTAATACAAAATAAAAATTAAATATAAAAAAAATTATGTTATTAATCCATTTCTTCCTCAAGGTTTTGCCAGTATTGTAATCTATTTGAAGGCATTACGGTTTTGAGATTTCTAATAAGGGTTTTTTTATTTTTTGATACTCTACATGGAGATATAAATGTCTGAGGGCTGGGAAGTTTTTTATTTTAAAACACTATTTTGAAGAAAATTTAGTTTAAACTATTATCAGAGTTATTTGTTAACTTATGATATAGCGTCAAAATTTACAATATATACAAGGAAAGTTAAAAACTATTTTGGCCTTAGCAGTTATCAACCCAAAGAATGTTTTTTTCTTCATCCAATTTAGTTGCCAAAATATGTTATTACTAGCACTTCCTCTTTCTTCTGATATTTTTTGTAAACATTTTAATTTACACTTTTGTATGTTGCAAGGCGGTTTTACTAAATGCTTTTTTGCGTTTCTCTTTTCTTGCTTCCTTTCCTTTTTTTAAACTATCCCCAATTTTTCGCTGTTTCCTTTATTGTCCTTTTCTCATTTTCTTCTCCTGAGCTGTTCTCATTTTCTTTTTTAGACCAGTCCATATTTTGTAAAATGATAATGTTAGATTCAGGTGGCCATGCTGACTGTAAGTTTACTTCTGTTAGACATTTTCCTGTAAAGGATATACTTTATTAGTTATACATATATGCAGATTTTAAATAATATATACTTCATTTAATTTACACACCGATGCACGTCATTATCTACGTCAGAGATCGAAGTTGACATAGTTGCCAAAGTATAAAAAAATCCTGACTTCATTTTAAATCAAATAGATCACATAATTATTGCAAAAGTATTACTATCTCTTTACAACGACTATTTAAATTCTCACGTGACATTTTTGAAATAAAACACTAATTTTTTTTCTAAAAATAACAGATTTTATTAAATAGGTAAAAATATAAAACAAGAGGTATTCACTTTAAAATTCAAAGTAATAAAGTACAAAAAGTGTCAACACCGCAACTGTCAAATTAGTGTTACCAATTTATGTCAAAATTTCACCTTCATTCGATTACAGTTACCGTGTGTTCTTAACAAATGTTCTTCATAAAATCGCTTTATAATGCATTTATACAAATTAAATGAAACATATTGTGTATTTCTATAAGTTAACATTAATAGAAATGTTTAAATATTATTTCTACGCGTACATAACAAAATATGTCTAGTGGCTGTAATGCCAGTGTACTCGGCAAAGTGATTATAAAAAAGAACACACCTAACGCCTAAATATTTCGTGTTGGTATCATGTGACGTCACGGGCTATGACGCCGATGACGTGCATCGGTATGTAAATTAGATGAAGTGTAAATATATTTTTTTTATTATTGAGTTTAATGCGTCGACAACTAATGGTCATTGGCATGGTACAGTGAATTTTTACAGTCAGGTACCTAGTGTAGTATGTGTGTGTGTGTGTGTGTGTGTGTGTGTGTGTGTGTGTGTGTTGTGTGTGTGTGTGTGTGTGTGTGTGTGTGTGTGTGTGTGTTGTTTGTGTGTGTGTGTGTGTGTGTTTGTGTGTGTGTGGTGTGTGTGTGTGTGTGTGTGTGTGTGTGTGTGTGTGTGTGTGTGTGTGTGTGTGTGTGTGTGTGTGTAGAGTAATTGTCTTGATACTTAGCAAAGTCGACGTCATTGTCTTTGCTAAGAGACGCTAATTGTATCCGAACGTCTGCGGTCCCTCCGGTGAGTACCAATCGCACAAGGATAGAAATTATTTTCATTTATTAATTTTTAATAAACGAAAATTTCTCCACCCAGGTGAGATTCGAACTCACGACCTTTAGGTTCAAAGGTAGGCGCTATTACCACTGAGCCACAGAGGGGGTTATAAATGTATTTAAAACTCTACTCTTTGGTGAATTAAATTATCATGTTGTTTTACAAAAATAAACATAAATTCAATGAATATGTCTAAAGCATCTTAATGTTTTTTAACTTATGTACAACAAACTTGCAAAAATGTATTTAAGGTAATTTTTTCTAATCTGAACTACTTACCCTACTCGCTTTTTAACATTAAAGAATTTACGTTATTTTTTAATCAATTTTGCAGACATAAACTAACACAATCGCACCATACACAAGTTTAGAAGAAACTAAATAAATTGATAAATCGCGACAATTACGTAGCAAAAACACCGCAATTGTGTATTGCTTAGAATAAACACAGTAACTGCAGGGTCCATCAAGTATATGCGGGGTTTTACCTAAGTAATGTTGTAGATGCGAGGTTTTTCCTTAGTTCCACGCATGTTTTCGTAGGTGGTAGGTCAGAATATATATTAGGATTGAAAATACAATAATTTTCTTAAATTCTTCTTCTTCTTGATGTGCCTATCCGTTACGAATGTTGGCGATCATCAGGGCAATCTTTATCTTATCTGCAACAGCGCGGAAAAGCTGCACAGATGTTGTATTGAACCAGATTCTGAGGTTCTTTAACCAAGATGTTCTTCTTCTTCCTGGACCTCGTTTTCCAAATATTTTCCTTGCAGGATGACTTGAATGGATGGCTTCTTAAATAATCATGTAATATGAACTCTTTCGTTCTAATTTTCGCACCCAACTAAATTTTCATAATTTTTGTACATGCAGTGTTTTTCCTAAGGACGGCAGTATAGTTGTACACAATTTAAATACAATTAAAATGTGAATCTAGTGATTTTATAATTGGTATTTTTTCTCTTCAATTATATCAATACCAATATAACATTAAATTCTACTTAACTAATGATGTATTCTTATTTCAGTGACCAAATTTACTTTTAATTTTGCCATTTTTTCTTCTGGCTTCAAGTCAGGGAGCCTTCCACATTTGAAATATTACACTGACAGAATAACAATACCAAGCCTTCATATTTTTGGAGAAAATGATCAAATCATTCCAACAGGTAAATACCCTCTTGCTTAATATACAGTGTGTTTTAAAGAATTCTCTCAAAATATAGTAAGATGTGATCTATAATCGAAAGTTGTTTTTAGTTATTTTTATTTTATTTATTTTTATTTTTTCAAACTTGGCGGGTGACTGTTGGTATTACAATTCTATATTGGATTTTTTTTAGTGCTAATAGTTGGAACTACCTGTGCATGACAAGTGTGTCAATGAGTCAACAACTTTAATCGGACTAATAACAACGGAGATATTATGCTATAATACCCTTTTGGCTTTACCGCCATGTATGTTTTTTCTGTCTTACTTAACATATTCGCTACCCTTTCTCTTTTCCAATGATGTATCACACGTCACGATCCGACGATCTATTCTACATCCACCACAAAACACTAAAAAACTATTTAAATCATCAATACCACTTTTTATCGCCAAATTGTGTCATCTATTCTTTCCGTATAGTTGTTTGTAAACAAACATGTTATGTTGGGTTAATAATATAAATAACAATAAAGTGCATGCGAACACATACCTAAATGCAATAAAAAATACCAAAGAAAGTCTATTTATTGACAAAAAAAATACTAAATAAATAGGGCTGCAGTAGTATTGAAATGTTTGATATAGATAAAGAATGTTCGTAAATATGGTTATGGATTCGTCGGTTTGTCTGTCTATGGTCTTCATTGAAGAATTGGTCTTTTAACGGATCTGACGAGATTGGAATCTTGGAGTGAGTAGTAATGATGGTTTTGATGTTTGACGTTATGACAGAGGTGTCATCAACGTACCGTAATCAGCAGGCGGGTTTGAGATTTGATGAGAATAAGGCTGCTGTTTCGAAATGTTCCATGAATATATCAGCTATTACAGGAGAGGGGGATCCCTTTGGGACATCATTGATTTGACGATAAAAATAATTTTGGAATGAAAAGTATGTATTAGACATGCAGTGTTTTATAAGAGATAATGTGTCTTGGGGATTTGATGTTTAGAGTCCAAGATGGAAATGGTTTCATCAATGGGAATGTTGGTGAACAAAGAAACAATGTCAAAACTAACTAGTATATCTGAGGGTGAAATAGAAATGTTTTTCAGAAGATCAATAAAATGACTAGAGTTTTTGACAAAGCGGACGAAGCGTTTTCGGTTAATGGTTGTAAGAATAAAGCGAGATGTTTTGCCAATGTCTGAGTGGAGCAGTTTTGTGCACTGACGATGGGTCTTAGGCGAACATTGGGCTTATGGATTTTTGGAAGGCCGTATATCTTTTGGAATTTGGGATGATTTTTCTTTGGGTATAAGAGATTTTTGGATGTCTCAAAGTAGAGTAGACTTATTTATGATGGATTTGGTCGTTTTTTTTAGATAGGTGGTGGGATCGTTTGGGACGCGTTTGTATTCTGTAGAATTGAGAAGTTCGAACATTTTTGTCGAAATAATTAAAAGAGTTGAGAATGACGGTGGCATTACCTTTGTCGGCCGGAAGGATGACAATGTCAGGGTTATAAAATTCTATGAGGGCGCGTCTTTCTGAAAGACTGATACTTGACGGTGGGGGTTTGGAAGTACGGACAATTCTGGCGACATCTTGTCTGGCAACTTCGGCTTGGTCGGAAGGAAGATGAGAAATTGCTTCTTCAGTTTGACAAATAATTTTCTCAGTTGGGATGGAAAGAGGAGTGACAGAAAAACTGAAGCCTTTTGACAAAGCTTTGGTAACTGAATCGAATATGTGAATATTTGAGAAATTGCGAACAACAGTAGAAGGTAGTTGATTCAAAATGGGCTGTGGATTTTGCTGAGAGATAAGTTGGTCCAGTTTGCGTTTCTGGGTTGGGGTTTGTTGTCAGAAATGTGTTGGGCTTTTTGGTGAGAAAGACTATCGAAAGTGTCCTATAATAATGGATGGATGGATATTGAAAGAGTGGATGTCATTGTAGGTTTTGAAAAGTTGGGAATTAGTTGTATCTAAGTTGCGTCGGGTGGAATGAATTGAATTGAAAGCAAAAAACCAGTTGCTCTAAGAATTTTGGAAATTGATGAAGATTTAGTGTGATCTTTAATTTGAAGAGATTTTGGAATCACTTGATGGTCACGACTCGATGCAAGGAAAGCAAGGTCACAGAGAAGACGGTATTTGCGTGTTAGAAGAATAAAAATAGATTTAGTAAGAATGAAAAATTCCTCCCCGTACACCCGGCACCGACAAAATTTAAAATGTCTAATTTAACTGAGCTGCCACCATGCTTCGGAGGGCACGTAAATCCGTCGGTCCCGGCTAAGAAAGTAGTCGTTAAATCATGTTAGGGGCGCTTGCGCGACCTGAATACCCTAACACTAGACCTTAGCCAGAAGGTTACACGAACTTTACTTTTTATCCTCCCCGTAGAGGCGAATAAAATGTTCGGATAAATTTCCGCGGTGAGGTAAATGAAAATTACTAAGTTGTAATTATAAGTATTAAAAAAAGTGTTTGGTGTATTCCATAGACTGTAGTACTGAAGAATTAAGTACGAGCCAACTCACTGAATACTGTGTATTTTTCTTGTAGTTGCTTTAGAATCATATAAGGCCAGATTATTTTGGATTATAAAAACCAAATATCTACAGACAGTACTTTGCTGTAGACGATTGTTTTTTACCCTTGCATTAACAAATAATTAACACAACTTATAAATCATTATAAAAATAATTAAGTTCACAATTTTTTTAGAAATGAGTGAAGCTTTGAGTAACTGCTTTGAAGAACCAGTTATAGTAAGGCATCCTGGAGGTCACTACTTACCGGCTGCAGCTCCACAGAAAAGTGATTATCAGAAATTTATAAAGCTCCAACTTCTTAAAAAACAATTTAATGCGGTTTAAATAAATTGTAGAAGTAATATATATTTATTACAAAAATAGTTTATGTTTATGACCTAATCAAAAGTCAATCTCCCCTTTTAATAACCAATGCTATATAACAATGATGGTTTTTCATATTATAATTGTGGGATCTGCATTTGTTGAAATAAAGCTGGAGAGTCCTTTTCTTCTATCTCTGGCACTTGGTCGTGGAATCATTGTACCAAACCCTGTCCTTTTATTAAACTTAACCAAGAAATAGGAACAAGGATTTCTTGTTTCACCAAGAAATCTGTCTTTCATACAAGCCTGTAACTTTCTTATGGGGAGTTAAAGAATGTCTACTTCTTTCTTTATTTGGTATTTCATGCACCGTGGTTGATTCGCCGTATCTCTGTCGTAGAGACGCATTTCCTCGGTTGACTTTGTCCAGTGATCACCTTTGTGACCGGTTTCATGTCTCATTTACTGAGACGAGTTAAACTAGATATGTTCGATTCCGAGGCACATTTGCAGTTTTCATAACAGGCTGTTTTTTACAAGGGCAGGTTGTTGGCCTTCCGCTTAATCCTCCTCCTTTATCCGAGCTTGGGACCGGCAAGAATGACTGTTAAGCTACTCGATCCACCCAACAGTCATTCCAGGCGGAGTTGTTGTTGAGCAAACAGATGTATGTATAGCCTCCACAACACTATTAAATCCAAGAGCCTAACACGAACATCAAAAATCAGGATATATAAAACAGTAATTAGACCGGTGCTCATGTATGGGTGTGAGACGTGGACGCTGACAAAAGCAATGGAAAGTAAACTCAGATGCTTTGAGAGAAAAAATCCTCAGAAAGATCTTCGGTCCCTATCACGATCCGAATACTAACCAATACCGAATGAGAACAAATGCCGAGATCAAACAAATGTATAGTGCTAGCGACGTAGTCCAAGAGATTAAATCCCAACGGCTAAGATGGGCTGCCCATGTTCATAGGCTCCCTAATAACCGCCTTAACAAGTTAATCTGGGAAGAAGTCCCGACAGGGAGAAGGCCCTTAGGACGTCCACGAATGCGATGGAGAGATAATATATGGTCAGATTTGAGAACAATGGGGCTACCCACTGACTTAAATATCATGGAAGACCGTTCGAGATGGAAGCAAGTTGTGCAGTCAGCCAAGACCCACCCCGGGTTGTAGTGCTACCAGAAGAAGTTAAACTAGATGAAAGCCTGTACATGTTGCTCTTACGATTTTCTTACCACTTTTGAATTTGATCTCATTTCGTTTTCTCTCGATGTCTCCTTCATGTCTCAGCATCCATATTCTTTTCGTGGCATTTTTTATTTCTTGATTATTAACCACTTATTGATGCCTGGCTGTTGGTACAAATAATTTTTTCGGTTATCCTAATGGTTATAATAATAGCTTGTCCGATATGGTTTCATCAGTACCGATGTTCGTATGTTCTCTGTCATTAGTGAGAACACTTCAGCCCAGAACAGTAAGTACCTACACTTCATCTAATTTATATAACGATTCACGTCATTGGCGTCATAGCCTGTGACGTCATATGATACCAACACGAAATATTTAGGGTTTAGGTGTGTTCTTTTTAGAATCACTTTACCGAGTACACTGGCATTACAGCCACTAGGCATATTTTGTTATATACGCGTAGAAATAATATTTAAAAATTTCTATTAATGTTAACTTAAAGAAATACACAATAATATGTTTCATTTAATTTGTATAAATCCATTATAAAGAGTTTTTATCAAGAACATTTGTTCGGAACACACTGTAACTGTAATCGAACGAAGGTAAAATTTTGGCATAAATTGGTAACACTTATTTGACAGTTGCGGTGTTGACACTTTTTGTACTTTATTATTTTGAATTTTAAAGTGAATACCTCTTGTTTTATATTTTTACCTATTTAATAAAATCTATTCTTTTTAGAACAAAATTAGTGTGTTTTATTTCAAAAATGTCACGTAAGAAGTTAAATAGTCGTTGTAAAGAGATGGTAATACTTTTGCAATAATTATGTGACCTATTTGATTTAAAATGGAGTCAGGATTTTTTTATACTTTGGCAACTATATCAACTTCGATCTCTGACGTAGATAATGACGTAAGTCGTTATCTAAATTAGATGAAGTATATAGTACTGTCCCAAACCCTAGTACTCACTGAATTTGCTTGTCAGCCCTAGGTCCTTGGACTCATCAATCGGTAACAGTGTCATGCACAATATTTCTTTCTGTGAAATTTAATTGACAGCTAATTGAATGCATCTTCACCGTGACCAAATGTGAAAAATGTCCCATAAAAGGAGTTAAGAAAAAAAGAAAACTTCTCATAATATAAGACTCGATAATCGTACATTTTTCACATTTGGTCCCGGTGAAGATAGCCTTAAATGAGTTTGACACAACGAAATATTGTTAATTGGCAGTGTTGAAATTTACATTAAAAATGAAACATATGCAAGCAAAATCAATAAGATATATAAAAATGAAAAAAAAATATAGTTTAGAATTACCAAAAATGAAAAAGTAAATAGTTTTAAAAGAGTTTTTAAAAGTAAATAGTAAACTGTCTGTATAAATAATAGAGTTAAAAAGACATCTGGCAACTGGTGGTTTGAGGGTTCCGACTCTATTGCCAAATCTACGCGCAACCTATCAAAGGGCAATTGTTAAATAAAAAACGGGTGTGGCAGTGGGACTGCCGGTAGAAGTTATACTTCTATACACGCGTTCGCCGTTAAAAATTTATATGGGAGTCAATCTGCACAATCATTACGTATGTAATGCTATAGGTAAGAGAGAGCACAAAGAGAAAAAGAATTAGTTATATATGTATATTTATGGTGCATCGTTTGCTGTATACAAACATTTGACCTGTAACAGGAATATAGTAAATGAAGGATTGTATCAATATTTTAATGAAAATATATATTTATATTTTCATATATGTATAAAAGGAGTTAAATGCAAAAAAAATACACATACTCTGCAGTAAAATTCATTGTTTATTTTGTTATTAATATAAAAATTACAATACAGTAAATACACTGCAACATAATTCTATATAATAATACAATATAAATTAAAATGTAATATTCATAAGTATTTAAAACTTAAAGCCAATATACATAACTTACTTTAGGAAAATAAAAATAAACAACCAACAACTCGGATTATGTTGTAAATTTTCATTTTATTTTGAAATTTAGCATTTTTTCGTATATTACATATATTTAATAAGATTAACGTGAGGTTTTTAAATATTTTAAAAATAAAAAAGGGAATTCATAATTGGGATTCGAACTCACAACCACCAGCGGATGAACCCAACACGTAAAGGATTTGCGAATTAGACATAACACTAACCGATTTCAAAATTGACAGTTCTCGGTCAAACAGTTATTTTGAAATACAAAAGCCTAAAATAATTATAAACGTTTAATAAATAATACAAAACATATCACATCAATAATTCATACATATTATATATATATATATATATATATATATATATATATATATATATATATTACAGATATAATATTATATACCTATATATTACCTATTAAATACGTGTGTAACGTACACACATTAAATATACAAAAGGAACATTATCTTACATATGTAATGGTTTCACAGATTCACTCTCGTGCAAATTTCCAACACCGACCGTGCGTATAAAAGTACAACTTCAAAAAATTTTAAAAATAAGAGAATTATGCAAAATTCATAGATAAGACCACAGTATAGACAACAACTTTTGTTGTTATTTATCAGAGATACATATCTCTGTTATTTATACTGTGATAAGACAATAAAGCTGGATAGTTTGACTGACTGTAGACGCAGACGTACTGGAAAAAGATCAACATAGACTTTTGTTTACTCCTATTTATAAATGTACGTAAACGCAAGACGGGACGTAAGCGAAACGCACTGTAACGGAAGAGTTGGTCAACTTTCATCTTTTACAGTGCGTTACTTGTGTCTGGCCAATCAAAGGAATCATTTTGTGCTGTCAACCAAAGTGAACTGTCTGGCCCACCCACAATTCTGTAAAGTTGCTTATCAACATATTCGAATTTTGATTTTGTCAGAGATATGTAAGATATCTCTGGATTTTGTTGATTGTTTGTTACAATGGACGTTAAGAATTTATAAAATAATAATTATAAATAATAAAATAATATAGTATCATGGTCACCAATTCTAGTCACTGCCCAAAAATTCCACTCCGTCGATTTATAAATTGAAATAATATTTACAGTCCGTTTGTTACGTCTCCAGTGCGTCTACGTTTACAGTCCATCAAACTATAAATCCAGCTTAAGGGTTAGGTTAAGTAAGAAGAAACGGATGAGTTTACCGAAAGTACAAGCTGATTATAGCCGCAAATGTCAAAAATATTTCGCTTTGGTAGTGTCACAGAATAATGAACAATCAGAATGTCCATTCTCCATGGAAAATTAAGTACGCGCATCTCCTTCGCGCAGACGTTCCGCCATGTTTTAGATGGAACCAGTGTTGTTTATGTGGTATGTATAGACAAAATTAACCCGGTATAATTGACTTTCGGCAATCATAGATATACTATACAATTATATTAACATTGTTAAATATAATAACATAAATATAATAGAATTAAACATAAATATAAACAATTACATAACCTCACAAATCATATGTCTGTGTTATGTGTTTCCTTCTAAAACATGGCGCGCGTGCTGAAAAACTTCAAAGGCGGCACCTGAGAGTGGACATTCTGATTGTTTAGTATTCTGTGGTAGTGTTGGCATGTTTTAATAATGCATATGGTGAATGCTTCAAATATAAAGAGATAAAGCTTCTAAAAAGTACATTTTGATTATACTATTTTAGTACTATTTTATGAATTCTGCAATTTTTATTATATGTGAAGTAATAACGAGTAGATATTTGTCTTTTTCGAGATTAATTGCAAACATCTTTTGTAATCTGGCAACTGCTGATTTGACGATTGCCAAATCTATTCCCTAATCCATCAAAGGGTAA